CTAAAGAAAATCATCAAACGACATCATCAACACATTGGTGTTGGTATTTCCATCATGTTTCCAAGCAACTACAACTTCATGCCACGAATAAACTAGAGTTATTACACTTTGATTACTGATTGAGATGTTAATCTGCATCATTTTCTTCCTGCAAACAACTGATTAAAGTAATAAATCACCTGCACTGTATCCGTTGTAGCCTTTGTTTAACCCCACTGAGCGTCACTATATTACGAAAATCCCTTTTTTCAGCGTCCTGGCCGAGATAACCAACAATGACAGTAACACACAGACGAGCAGCATGAGGCAGACGGCCCGAACGAGAATTAGAAATCCATCAATAACATGTTTAATATCTATCCATCCATTATCTATACATCGCTTAATCCTCAATAGGGTCGCATGGGGGCTGGAGCCTAACATGTCTAATATGATCATAAAAAAAGCTCATAGAAACAACTGACATAGAACATTAAAACAGCCTGAGATAAAAAAGTAAATGACCAAATCTAACACTAGTGCTAATGCAGGATGAACACTGCAGTCAGCATTACCCGTGACAGACAGAGTCATCATCCTGTCACTTTTGCAGCAGAGATACAGATCTGCTCGCCGGCTTTTGCAGTTTAAAAATGTTTTGAAAGTTGTTGACTTGCCACCTTTATGTTTGATGCATAGCTCAGAGTCAATACTTCTCATCTTTCATGAGTCTCCATAACTTCTGAATTTACTTGTTTTCCCCCGAGTGAGGAGCTCATATTTGGAGATTATTCTTTTATTTGTTAGCCAGCCTGGGTAGAAAGTTGTTTAAGCTGTCTACAAAGTTAAAAATGAATAAAAATTACATATAAAAAGCATGCATAGTTTAATAGAAGAATAAAAAGTTCACTACAAACAGAAAGAAAACTTAATTGAGTGAAACAGCACCTGTAAAGCCGTCATCAAATGTCTGCGGTGAAGTCGTACTTTTTGATGCCGGGAAGTCAAGTACACAACATACTTAAAGCGTTTTAGGGCTTTAGAACGCTGTTTCTAGGCAACTGGCATCAAAAATGTTGCTTGCCCTTTTTATAAATAGTGCACTGCAGAAGAACCAAGTAATAAAATACAACAACAACAACAACAACAAACAAAACAAAAAATGTTATAGAGAAGAAAAAAAAAAAAAATCAGTCAACTCATGGACTTGAAGCTATTAAAGATGCAGAATTTCTGAACAGCACATCAGTGGGTGTTTAGGGAATGATGAAAAAGCAACGGGAAGACACAACTGGCTTTATGTTGTTCTGTATTTTTCTGGTTTTCAATAATCCTCATCAGAAAATACAAAAAAATAAACTGCTATATGACAGTTTGACTTTACTTTCCGTCTCGGTCTTTGGCTCTTAGCTCAAAGCCCATTGGTTAGAAACAGCTTATACATGTAGTTCAAAGGGACTTCTGGTAATTGTAGTTAAAAAAAACAAACTACAGTCACTCAAACAGTTCTGTCCTTTAATATTTGGTGCAGCAGGACAGTGTTTGAGGAGCTGAATCACATTAAATTCAATTATGTGTGGCTCAGGTGGTAGAGCAGGTTGTCCTCCAGTCGCAGTGTTCGATCCCCCGCCCCTCCACAGTTGAGGCGTCCTTGGACAAGACACTGAACCCGAAGCTGCTCCCAATGGCAGGCAGCACCTTGCATGGCAGCTCTTGGTGTACGAATGGGTGAATGAGAAACACATTGAAAAGACCACTGACCATTAAACTATACAGTGTTTACATGAAGGAAGGTGTCTCCCAATGCAACAGCATGACTCGTGTGTTTTTAACAGTTTTTGAACAACAATTGAAGACTCAGAGCTATCAAGCTTATTAATACTAATACACTTTGGATCAGTTTAGCATTTGCTGTGAGAAGCAAAGCTATATCACCAGATGACAGGAGGCATATTTGTTCAGGAATGATGGCGCGACATCAAGCAACCCACGAGATCTTAATCACACCTGCGGCTGGAAAGCAAAAATAGAAGGTTAGGAGGTAAATGTAAGTGTACGCTCTGCAGAGGAGAATTCTTTGTCATATTCAAGTTCAAACATCCCTCCCCCTCCCTTCTCGTCTCAGACTGGATGCGCCTCTACCTGCGCTGCTGTGTGCCATCTGTCTCCTCGTCCTGCCGTCGCCCTCTGCTTCCCACCAAGAGTCAGGTACGCACCCTTCCCTCCCCGTCCCAGTCACATCGACCATCCGCCGCTGACATCAACCGCTTCATTAAATCATCCGTGACCTCTGACATTTTCGGGCGGCGGGGTGGTCTTTAATTATTTCCTATCGCTTATTGTTTTTGCTGACATGTGCACTCTTGAGGCCATTTTCAAGGATGTCATCGCGTCCCAGCAGCAGCAAAAAAAAAAAAAGAATCAAGGTCAATTGACACAGCTATGTAAATGTCTCTCCCTGGCTGTGGGGTGGTGCTACGGAAACACTGAATTCTGTCTGTTTCTCTCAACTGCCACCATGCAATTACGAATAAGTTGTAAATGTCTCAACAGATTTTTGGTTCTGTCGAGCCATTCGAGTTCCCCTCAAGATAAATTCTAATAACTTTTCATCTAGCAGTCAGATTTTTTATTTTAAATAATTCGAAAAATGTCTGAATACCTGCATACATTAACTGTACGTAGTTGTTTTATACTTAACTAGCAAATCCGCCCACTTTTAACAATACGGTTGTAAACCTTATAACTGCTAGACATCAACATGTTAATATTGCCATTGTATGTTTACACGATGACATTAAAGTTGAGCTAAAACACCACCATGACTCAGGTTAGTCCAGCAGAGCTTAAGCGTACCTGTCAAGTGCACAGCTTAGTTTTGTTTTAATGGCTAATGAACATGTTGTATATGTATGGTAGGTAAATCATGCATCTCTAATATAAATAAATAGTTAAAAACGAGGCCAGCTGTGTAAAAATTAAGCAGATAGTTTGACTTTGTGGGACATCATCTCCCTGAAACAGACTTCCAGTGGCAGAAAATAGTTCCATTATTAAAACAGCTGTATATGGTAGCATCTAAATGATTGTTTTTGTTCAGATTAAACAAAATGACTGCTATCTCTTGAGCTTTAAAGGCTCAGTCTATTTCTGAACTTTGCGCTGAACCCCACCAGCTGTTCTTTCCTGCCTCTAGGCTTAATGCTAAGCTAGGCCAACGGTCTCCTGGTTGTACCTCTGCACACAACACACCTGGTGGTCCTTATCGTCTCTCAGGAATTAAGCATGAAATACCACTTTATAAATACTTTAAAGTTTGCCTTTCCTCAGATGATTCGAAGCTCCTCCAGGTAACCATCCCCACCGCCCCGCCTGTGTTCGCCGTGCTGGGCGGCTCTCTGACTCTCCCCTGCCTGGTGTCTTTGACCCACCCGCCGCCGTCCCCCTCCACCAACGGCCGCCACGCCGTGCTGTCCGTCCCGCGGGTCAAGTGGAGCGTTCTGACCCACGGCCGAGAGACGGAGGTCCTGGTGGCCCGAGGCGACCGGGTGAGGGTCAGCGAGGCCTACAAGGACCGAGCCTCGCTGCTCAATTACGCCTACTCGCCCGCCGACCTCACGCTGCGCCTGGAGAGCCTGAGGCACAATGACACGGGCTTCTACCGCTGCGAGGTGCAGCAGGGCCTGGAGGACGCTGACGACGTGGTTCAGGTCAAGGTGAAAGGTGAGATATGGGCGGAAATATTTTGTTTTTGTTTATCAGACTGACAGCACGACAGGATGGAGTGAATAAATGTCACAATAAATGATTAAAATATTAAAGACACATGCATGATTTAATAAAACATGAGCAGGGGCAGAACAGCAATAACACCTGACCATGCAGTAGATTCTGCAGCTACTTTATTCTCCCCTTGGATATACATCATTTCAAAAAGTTAAACCTGCAATATCCATTTTTTTGGACCACTAAAGACAAGCAGTTGCTTATTTGCTTATTTACACTTGCAAAAGAGAAAGTATCTCTCATTTGGAGTTGTTTTTTTGGCCAATATTCACGTTCTTTATCTCTAGTTTTGGTCTCCAGAGGAACATCTCTGGCTCATTAGCTTCTAAATGCTCCATTATATCCACCAGCTTAGTCTCTAGACAGATAGGTAGACTTTACTGTAACAGGATGAAAAATTTGTATTCACGATGTGCTCATGTTTATGTCCCACAGGAATAGACCAAAGCAGGCAGTGCAGACATATAGATGCACATACCTGGGCTATTTAATTATATTGTTATTTTAAGCTGGTATTTTGTCTTCAGCCAGTGCAGAACTTCTGTGGAACTGACACAAACTCCAACACACAAATGTCCTTTTTAATGTCAAGTAAATGGTGCACTCTTGGATGTTTTTCTAACCAGACAGGAATGTGTGTTGCTGAGCCATGTGCACACCGAGATAAATCTGCTCCAAACAACACAATTTCCCCCAGGTTTGATTTTTTTCCTGAAACAAATAACATCAGAATAACAATTCAGACACATCTGTACGGGCATGCGTGAGTCAATATGTGTGTTTCTCCACTCTGGGTCAATGAGAAGTACTCCACAGGACGTCATGAAAAGGACAAACGGCCTCCGGAGACCTGGAACAGGCTGCCGTGTCTCCACTGCTACTGTATCTACTTTATATAGTCCACTTCCAGCATGCATGATGAATGGTCGTCTCACTCAGTGCACCGGCCAGCTAATAGATTATGGATAACCTGACCACAGTCATTTGTGAGCTAATATATCAGGCTGTGAATGCTGCTTTCACTATGTTTGCATTAAGTGTAGACAACAGAAACTCCAGTGTAGCTCTCGCTAATCCTAAACTGGCAATAAAGTTATTTAGGTTGCAAGTCTTTTAAACAAGCAAGGTGGGTCAGCGGTTAGCATCGGTGCCTCGCAGCAGGAAGGCTGCCGGTGAGGACACCTGAGATCGTTCTGCGTGGAGTTTGCATGTTCTCTCCTTGCAGTGCGGGTTCTTCCTCCCACAAGGCTCCAGCCCCCTGTGACCCCAGTGAGGATTAAGTGGTGTATAGATACTGGATGGATGGATCTTTTAAACAAAATGACAAAAGCTTCCAAATTGAGCCATAGGATTGTATTCTGATTTGTAGTCCTGCTGTCTTAACCGAAGCATCTGGAAGTGTCTCCCAAAGAGGATGAGACAGACCCAAAAGGGATAATCTGATGAAGACAAATCTTTGGATTATATCAGAACTTTTTTTAGCCATTACATGAAAAAAAAAAAAAACATTTTAGGGGTTTTATATAGAAAGCAATCAAAGTTCAGCACCACTTGCTTTTTGTGCTTATAGGAGTGCATGTAAAACTTTTGAGAGAGTTTAAAGTCCTGCTCAACGCCTTATTAGGCAGGAAGTCTGAGCACTGCTGGGTAATGAACTGGAAATCTACCTGTATTGATAGTGTACCTACAAATCCAATTGCGCACATATCAGGCTGTTAAATTCACAGATGAAGTGAATGCGCTCTGACACCTCATCTGTGGTTCGGTTAATCAAGCTGTGGTGCATTTGCCTGTTTATTTCAGTTTATTTAGTCTGGGTGTTAAAGCAGTCAAGAACGTGGGCTGATAGTCTTGTTCTGTCTCCAGTTTAACTCTGCTGAGGTTTATTTTTAGTGTGAAAGCATAGATATGTAAATCTAGACATAAAACCAGATGATTATCACCTGTTAAAGAAGTGATCTAACATGCGACATATGCATTCATGCAAATTAAGCCCTGGTAACACATATGCAGAGTAAATTTAACACTTCCTGTTAGGATTTGATTCCCCCATGGAGCTAGTGCTGATGACGCAGGATGGCAAAACTGCAACAACCTGTCCAATCATTGAGTTGCCTGTCTGTGCATGATCTCCACAAATCCTCTTGTCACAGGACCAGAACTAACCGCTCACAATAACATTTTTTTCCTCCACTGACAGGTGACAAGCGCAAGCCGAGCAATTTTTTAGTGGTATTGATTTCTGCTCCTGCATTGTTTAACTATATCTCGCAGACACCGTGCTGAAAATTCATTAATTGTATATTACGCCTGATCAAAACAAAAACACTGTGATGATTTTAACATCGACATCGTTTAAATGTCACCCTGCTCCTGGTGTTGCTCTGCTGGAATAATGACATAAAACACAACAGGGCCCAGAATTCACAAAGCTCTTTTCCTGGGTTTTTTACAGGAGTGGTGTTCCATTATCGGGACGCATCCAGCCGGTACGCCTTCGCTTTTGAGCAGGCCAGAGAGGCCTGTGAGGACATCGGGGCTGAAATTGCCACCCCAGAGCAGCTCCTCGCAGCCTACAACAGTGGATATGAGCAGTGTGATGCCGGCTGGCTCTCAGACCACTCAGTCAGGTTAGAAACGGAGAGAAAACGGTCCGGCGTCAAACAGGACATGTCACTCTGCACTCTTTGGTCTCTTAACTTGCAAATTCTGCATTTTGTTTTGTGCACAATTGACGATTGTTCAGTGTACGTTTGGTGAGGGCCCGAATTCCTTCCTGCAGCTCCACACAAGCTAGACTGACATGTTGCTGTCTAGGTAGCTAAGAGAGCATCCGTGATGGAGGTCAGTCAGTTTTGGAGGACTGATGGCATTTGTTATGCTCTTTACATCTGCACTTCCCAACACGCAGCTCATCAAGAGCCTCAGAGGCACTTATCTGATCTCAGACCAAACATTTCTACACACTTCAACACTAGGAAAAGTGCTCGTACGGGTGGGACGTTTGGGGCGCTGTCATTGCAGAAGAAGAGCTACTTGGTGCTTCAATGACGTGTGACATTGCTGCCCACAGATATCCCATCCAAATGCCAAGAGAGGGCTGTTTTGGAGACATGGATGGAATGCCAGGAGTGAGGAATTATGGACTGTTGGAGCCTGATGAGTTGTATGACGTCTACTGTTATGTAGAGAATATTCAGGGTAAGACAAGCACACCCCCCTATGAGTTATGATAACATTTTTGTTGTTGATTTAATTTCCACGATTTGAGAATTCAGTGACATTGATACAAAAAACATGAATGACTTAATTTATCTGATCCACTTCCATTGTATAGCCATAAGTATGTGGACACCCCTGTTTGTTGTGTCTGTTTTTTCATGGTTTTGAACTGTGATTTCAGTGACGGGAAATCTTAGTGCCACTGCTTATAATTGTACTGTAATAGTGTTTCAAATGTGTGTCTACAGTTAGTTTCCTGTCTTAACATGACAACACCCATTTGTAGAAAACCAGGATAAATGCAACAAAACACTAATTTCTGTTTTTACCTATCAGTCAGTTTTAATGAATGAACTCATTGCAATTAACAAGACTGAGAAATTAACATATCCTTTGACCCTGTAATCATCAGCAGCTACCAGGTCAGTGAATGTCAAATCTGAGCTGCATACTTGGACTTGACGCATGCCTTGATGACAGTAATAAAATAGAAAGCGACATTTAAGAAACTAATAATGAACCAAACTTCCAAAATATAAACCCAGGTCTTGATTTTGATTTCTTGTCTGATCGCACTTGGAGAAGCCAGTGATGTAATAAATGTGCACTTTTTAAAATGTAATAAGCCAATAATGTAATAAAATTCTTGAATCGATATATCTTTTGGCCAATAACGTAATAAGTTATTATGTTATCGGTTCAGGACTTTTATTATGTTATTGGCCAGTTATTACGTTACTGGCCTCTACAACACCTGGCGTGTAAAACAGCAGCAAAAGTAACCATCAAATTAACATTAAAACCTGACACCTGTTGTTCTATTTCAAGGTGAGGTGTTCCATGGCTCCACCCCCCAGCGTTTCACCTTCTGGGAGGCCAAGGCCTACTGTCTGAGTCACGGGGCAGAGCTGGCCACCACAGCTCAGCTGTACGCAGCCTGGAACGATGGACTGAACCACTGCAGCCCCGGATGGCTGGCAGACGGGAGCGTGCGGTACCCCATCGTCACCCCCAGAGAGCGCTGTGGAGGCGGAGAACCCGGGGTCAGGACCGTCTACCGATACAGCAACCAGACAGGCTTCCCTGAGACGACTTCTCGACATGACGCCTACTGCTTCAGAAGTAAGAGAAACATCCTTTGAGATGTTTGGTTAATTTTCTGTTTGCTGACCTGCTGTTGATAAGCAGTTCCCTCCGAGATTCACAAAAATACATCATGTGGTGAAGACGTTGGTAACAGGACAGAAAAGAAGAAGAAATGTGGCTCATTAACACAAAATTATACTCTAATTTTAACTCTTTTTTTCTAGTGAAATATTGGGTAATTGAACCTCATCTACATTTATGCGATCTGAGAAGCTACATGGGACTATTCACAACTTAAAAAGCCTTTCTGAGTTTGCATACTGCAGGTCGTAGCACAAGTACATTAAATTTTAAATATTTGGTTAATTGTCGCTGCAAGGTGACTCAGTGGTTAGCACCGTCGCCTCGCAGCTAGAAGGTCGCCAGATTGTGTCCTTTCTTTCTGCGTGGAGTCTCCATGTTCTCCCCGTGGGCGTGGGTTCTCTCCGGGTTCTCCGGCTTCCTCCCACACAGTCCAAAAACATGTTGAGGTTAATTGGTGATTCTAAATTGTCCGTAGGTGTGAATGTGAGTGTGCTTGGTTGCCTTCGCCCTGAGTCAGCTGTGATAGACACTCCAGCCCCCCGCGACCCTAGTGAGGATTAAGCGGTGTACAGATGATGGATGGATGGATGGTTATTTGTCCAAAGTAATTTGGCTGAACGTAATATTACTGCTACCACAGCTTCTGTATTCAATGTGCTTCCAACTCAGCTCCCAAGAGCCCAAATTCACAGCATTAGTGTGTTTAAACTGACAAATAGCTGCTGACTTGTGAGTTTTGTGAACCGAAATAGTTTCATTGTAATTGATCACAAGTCAGAAACACTGAGAACAATTTGTTCTTAGCACACAAGTAAGCTTCCTTTGTTAGTCTCTCAGCCAAGTTTCACCGCATCAGTAACGGGTCCAATCCAATCCTGGCGCTATAACTAGCATTTTTAAATTCTGCTCTTTTCTCCAGGTGATAATGGCCTTTACACGGAATCGCCGCAGGATTTTCTTGCCACTGAGCCAGAGGACATTGGCCAAGACATTGTTTTCTTTACAAATCCTGCTCAGGAGGAGGTCAGCCTGAGTGTGGTGACGCCCTCAGGAGTTGAAGAGGTGCAACGTGCCCAGATGACAAATCCGGTAAAGCAGGACCCTGTTGAGACTCACTCCTCAACATTAGGTTATGACAAGGAACCGCTCCTCACCGTAGACCCTCCTCAGTCCGTGACTCCGCTGTCTGAGCATCAGGAGCACCTGCCCACCAAAGACACCTGGACACCCATAGAGAAAGTCATCTACCCTGAGTCCTTTCAGCCAGCAGCTGAAGAAAACCCAAACACAGACGATGAAGAGTCTCATATACATCCAGCAACTTCCCCAGCAGCAGATGGTGAAGTCACTGTTGATGAAGATTCCACGACAACCTCAACTGATGCAACAACTTTAGTGGATGAAGACGCCGTAGAGCAGGAGCAGCACATGTTTGACACTGAAAGCCCGGATACTCTGGACGTTAATGCAACATCTGGAGCTGATGTTTATGAGCAGCTCAACAGCTCTTCAGAGGCGCATCAGGAGGGTGATCTCCCTGTTTCACAAGAGGACCACACTCCAGATGTCCACTTGGAACACGCCTCTGGAACAGAGCTGGTCTACTCGAGCACCTCTTACGATGTTTCAGGACAGCCAGAGGAAGCCAGCACTGCTACTGCTGAGGAGATATCAATGGTGACATCTTCGCCCCACACCGAGGAAACAGATGTCCACTCCACCACCCTGTTGCCCTCTTTTGATAACAGTACACCTGAGCACCATCCAACTGAAGAAGGGTCTGAAGGGGAGAGTGCAAACCTCCCTCCAGATGAAGAAATGCAGAACTCTGTGACGCATGGTTTGGTTGGTATGAACATTGCTGCCACCTCTGAAGTGGCCCCCACGTCTGATTCAAGTAAGTAGGCTGTGAATATTAAGGAGCCCCTCTGGTGCAAATCTAGTTTTTAATATATTATGAGCGAAATAAGCAGTCAGTGCCATGCCTGAGCATGTTCACCCTGAAATCCCAGTGTACCTTAGACACACAGATTCAGACTTTTAGGGTTTAATATGTAACAAACTGAAGGAACCAATCCATTACAATGGCAGGATTGTGTTTCTGTGCCATTATTCTTCTCCTGAATCAATGTGAATAGCTGTTATTCCAAAACTACAACTTGCTACTGTGCAGTGGAGAGTAGTTATCCTGTAAGTTTGGAGATAGAACTGCCCAACACATTGCAGTAACTGCTTATTTTGGCCACGATATGTCTTCTAGGATATACAAACACCATACTGACATGTTAACAAGATTTTAAAAATGGCTTTTTACAGAAGGGGGTCTTTAAATGTCCTATTTGGAGCATAAAAGTGTGCAGGTCCTTTGTTCATGTTTAGAATGTAACGTCCTGAAAACATTTTTAAATACTTTAAAAACATTTAGCATGTGATTAGAACTTTAGCAGGGTGGAATTGGATTTAAGTATCTAAGAAACAGCTCTTTGAATGTGGTAGTTTCAAAGTAAAGGTGGGGTTGAAACAATGAACAATATGAACAATCTGACCAGTTGGTGGTGCTAGATGAACACTCACCAGATGACAGGTTAAATAATGTCTGTCCTAAACTTCAAAGATTTCCCTCTAAACAAAAGGGGTGATATACTTAAATAAATGAAATATAAAGTGAATGCTAACTTGCATTTGTGCCAGTTAGTATTTTAGGTATACGGTTTCTTTTTTTTTTTTTAATCAGACAATGAGTATTTTTTTTACCTTTGACATGTTTCGACTGTCACTTCAGTCTTCCTCAGAAACGTCACTTATGTCTGTGGTGACGTGTCTTTATCAGCTGGTGGTTTCCTGGAGGCGTAACCCGCCTGGCGATCTGTCAGATTTGCCCGACGGGCCACGCCTCCTGCCGCCTGGTGGTCTCTGCAGGAGAGCATCCCAGCATAAATGCCCCCTCGTCACGGTTCATGGTGTCTTTGGCTCGCCTCCTGATTTCTATGGCCTCCTTGATCAAATTTGTTGCTCTCTGATCCGATGATCTTTGCGGGCAACTCTGACAGATTGCCAGTATACCTGTAATCAGAGTAGACAAAAATGAACCAAATCTCGAAGTTAATATTTTATACATTTCTGATGCCTCAATCCTGTTTATTTTTCACAAAGCATAATAAAGTTAGATTTGTTCCTACATCACTCTAAACTGCTTCAGAATTCTCGACAGATATTTCAGATTGTGTCTTTTTCGTCACAGGTTATGATCCCACTGAAGACCATTCAGGTGTAACAATAGAGTCGTCCATCCCGGTGGACCAGGGTGACGAGGATTTCAACAGCACCTCAGAGGAGGCAGCACCAGATGATCCAACAGAGCAGAGTGGACACACTGATCCAGCAGAAATCCCAACAGTAGAGGCCATCACGGTCACAGACGACTCGGGCTCCAGTGTAGATACTCCGCTCCTTAAAAGCGATCCAGTCACTTTGTTGCCGTCCCCATCCCCAGACTCTGTGACGCTGTCTCCTCCTTCTGTGGAGGTTGAGGCCAGCTCCCCAGAGATCATAACTTTCATACCTGAAAGTAATGTTTCATCCGGGTCTGAACCTGTGGAGGACATTCAGGATAAACTTGAACAAGAGGGATTAGGAGAAAGCCGAATAGTCTTCCTCGGCACAACCCAAAATATCACAGACAGCGACCCAGAGGGGAAGGAGGAAGACACCGGGGAGGAATCGGGTGAATCATCGGGAGAAAACCCGCACATGAATCCACAACTCCTTTTGACGAACCTGACTCCGTCAGCGGACCACACTGCTGAGGGGACTGATGGCGAGGTTGGCACTGATGCACCTCCTCCATCAGAGATAAAAATCACACTGATCCCTCATCTGACCCTCTCACCTGGTTGGGAGCCAGAGCCTTCCTCCGCCACGCCGCAGGAGTCTCGATCCGACCGGGAGTACAGCGCTGAGCCGCCGGCCGCTGAGGAGTCTGATGACATCTCTCGGGAGCAAGATGTCATGGCGGAGATCACGACCGGCAGCATTAATGGTAACATTTAAAGTGATGCTCCTCCCACTTAGTGAAATAAACTGAGGTAAAGACATATGAAAGTAAGCTTCTTTTATACAAACCATATATAAATTCTAGTATGTATTCTGACCGTTGTGCCACTTTGAGCCCTTTTTTTTAATTTTAGGATTTCATGGTTGAAATACAGATATTTTTTAGCAGCAATATGACCATAGACGGATGTAGCCTCTATGTCTGAAAAATGAAGCAAATGTAAACCTGCATTCTTTAAAATGGCCAGCAGGGGGCGGCTCCTGTGGTTGCAAAGAGAAGTATGATTTTATAGAAGTCTATGAGAAAATGACTTGATGTCTCACTTGATTTGTTCCCCCACTGAACCTTTTCATTCTGAGTTTATGGTCTCAGCTGGTAGTTTTAAGTCTCTCACACAATAGAGCAAAATGTTCATTTTGTAGATGATAAAACAGGTATGCTTTAGAACGGAGTTACCTTGTGACTGATGAGTTGCTGCTGTATGGATGTGTTTGGTGTCCTTGAGTTTTCAGGCAGATCGAAGACCAAAATTGCAATGGCCAAATGCCAAACCTGAGGATTCAAAGTTGTAGTCCACAAACCAGTGGGTGACAACATGGTGGCTACATTTATCTCTCATATGTGATCTATAGACATGACCTGCTAACAATCTACATTTCAGAGAGGCATTTTAAGGGAGTGTTTGCTTTAAATTTTGGCAGATATCACTGTATTTGTAACAAAAAGCTACTCCAGATTTGAATCAACTTGATCAAAATGGTACCAAAAAAAACTGCAACAAGTTAAAATCTTGATGTCAAAATTTAGAAGAACACAAACCTCAACACAAGACTTCACTGAAATGCAGATAGACAACAGATAGACAGAGGTAGCAGCATCACAGCCAAAGTCATATATTTTTAAATTAAGTTATTTTATCAGAATTTGGTTAGGAAAAAAAAATGATAGAGAACTTGAAAACTGCAGTTGATTGGATCCAATACTTTCAAATTATGTGGTTAAATGACAGGAAATTAATGACGGTTGTTGCACTTGAATAAACATAGATTCAGTATTCATATTTTAGTTAAAATTCCTTTATAACGACAGGTTATTTTAGTAGTTCTTTTATAAATTAATATCCCTTTCATGTCTATTGAGTTTGTTGTGTAGTTGCTTGTGTTTATGCACAAATAACGAACGATGTCAACAGAGCATGGATCAGATGGAGGCGAGGTGGAGACCGGCACAGACGAACCCTTAATCAAAATATGCACATGGCGTCCTGAGGAGGACGAGGAGATGTCCAGTCTCACCACCGACAGCAGCGACGTGACCATCATCGCTCCCACCGTTCACCCCGAGAACTCCCGGGAAGAGGCCGAGGAGCAGACTGCCTCCCTGCCTGCTGTCAGAGTTCCTGCTGTGAGACAAGGAGGCCTTCCAGGTACTCCTTACGGAAGTGCTGCGTAATTGATAATAACAGAAACAGCAGCTGCTGTTAGTGTGCTTTATCGTTGTTTTTGGAGTGGAGAGGGTCTGCGTCTGCACATGTCCATTCAGGAGATTTACTGCGTCGCCGCAATTTAGCACCTCGAGCTGACTCAGCGGATTAGCTTTTGAATTAATCCTCAGAGAATAACTCACAGCAGGCTCATAACTGGAGGCTCCTCACTGTGTTACACAAGACAGGTTTTGTTGTTCACTTGTAAATTATTTAGAACATATAAACAACTCTATCCAAAGAGTTGCTCACATCACACGTTAACATTTATTCATTATATTGACGGTTTTGTCAGATCGATGTACAAATGAGGTACAATCCATTTGTACTGATTAGTGTTGTTTCTGTAAATAACTCAGACTTAACGGTTTACACATTTTTAGAGTGATAATTCTACAAAACAAAGGAAAGAAAAAGAAAGCCATGTCATATCAGCTTTCAGTGACAACATTTATTTGCTTAAAGTGAAAAAAAAGTGTACTGGAAAATGTCTGCAGTTGATTTTTAATTTAATTTTTATTTTTTTTAAGAATCTTTTCTTTATTGTACAAGCATGAAAAATGGTTGTGCCTCCATGCACACAATTACTATAGGCTATTTTAATTTACTACATTCACTGTACTGTTGCATAATTAGTAAGATATTTTCAAATGATTGCTGTCGTACTCATTTCTAAACTTGGCTCTGCTTTATGGTAAGGAGCTCAGCTGCAGTATACGACCCAGTAACTAATTAGGAAGCATATCTAATGTAATGGCTCCATCTGCTGGTGCCTCTTGATTCTCAAATTACATGTAAATCAGGCATCAAAAGCATTCAGATGCAAAATAAATAGCAGCTAAATGTTGGTATACACGGCTGCTAATAAGCAAAACAAATGAAAGAAATTTATATATTTGCACATTGTAAAAAGCAAAGTGACTTGAGCTCTGTTGCTACCATCACCTTCACATGTCTGCAGACTCCTGCCTGGAGAACCCGTGTTTGAACGGAGGCACTTGTGTTGAGGGCGAATCAATCAGATGCCTCTGTTTGCCCGGTTATGGAGGAGACTTGTGCCACACAGGTGTAGTTCCTGCACACACAGCCTTCCAAATATTAGCAGGACCTTTCCATCAATTCAAACTTTGATATTTGTTTTTTTATATTTGTCTCTCCAGACTTGGAGGTGTGCGAGCCGGGCTGGGAGAAGTTTCAGGGCTTCTGTTATCGCCACTTTAGCAAACGGCAGAGCTGGGAGGCGGCCGAGCAGCACTGTCGGATGTGTGGCGGACATCTACTCTCCGTCATGACCCCCGAGGAGCAGGACTACATCAATGGTAAAACTTTAACGGAGGAGAAGGCAGGGCTTTTCAAAGAGTTAAGTAATCTGATTGGGTGAGTTAATTGTTATTGATTGGAGCAGAAGAAACAGTTTGCAAGCAAATGTGATGCGAGCATTTTTAAATCAATACATGAGGAAGATAGATAGATAGATAGATAGATAGATAGATAGATAGATAGATAGATAGATAGATAGATAGAGCACAAAGATAGAGTTACCACCACCACCACCATAAATACAGATAAATAGGCAAAAGTAAACAATAACAAAATATAAATTGCAAAATGTACAATAAGTGTAATATGTCCAGTAAAAAAGAAATCCTGTGTGGAGTGGAGTGCAATCAGTAATGTATCCATATCCATGTATGATCCATGCAAAATTTGTGTTATTTAAAAAAACAAAAAACAAAAGGCAAATTTTTTGAGGCAAATACCTTTTTGGGTATTAATGAGCTCTTCACTGAAAAACATATCAGACACTGTTAGACTTTAGTTGTTTTAGTTGTTTTATTTTCAATATGCTCAGGTGGTAGCAGGTCAGTGATCGGAAGGTCGGCGGTTCGATTCCGCCCTGTAACCTGTTTCATGGTCGTTGTGTCCTTGGGCAAGACACTTCACCCACCTTGCCTGGTGTGAATGCGTTTGAATGGATTGTTTGAGGTGGTGGTCAGAGGGGCAGAATGGCAGCCACGCCTCTGTCAGTCTGCCCCAGGGCAGCTGTCGCTACCATCGTAGCTACCACCACTGGAATGACTGTGTGTGAATGAATAACTGACAGTGTAAAGCGTCTTTGAGTGCCTAGAACAGCGCTTTATTCAATTGTTATTATTATTAAAAACAATGACAGTAAAATTAGCAATGCGGTAATGTTAAATTATTGCAAAATGCCTAAAATGAAATCATCAACAGTAACCATTATGACATTGCTTTTAAGTCACAGAGAAGCGATGTGAAGGACACACTGCTGTTCACCAGACAACCATCACATTTCAGGTGCTAGAGCATCTTTGAAAGCTCCAGCTGGGTTCAGAGCAGCTCATTGTGCTGCATCACCACACAAACCTAACTGTGGAGAACTTGGGTTTTGTGTATCGCCACACTGCAACAGAGACATCAAACGAGTGATCTTCCATCCTAACATTCCTCTGATTCAGACCCTTTAAAGCCGTTTAACAACGAGCCCACTCCCATTTGTCCGTAATAGACACAACAACGGCCTTTCATGTCTTCCATCTTATTGAATCAGTTTTTTTTTTTCCCATGGAAAATGCCTCAGTCTTGAAGTGGCTGTTGGTGTTTCGTCTGGCAACCGGGCGACGAGATAGTTATCTGACATTCTTCTGGTGGTTGCTGTTTTACTCTGCGGGATCGTGTTACCTCGTGCTGTTATGTAAGGAAAGGAGCTGTCGTAACGAAACCACCGTCAAGTTTGTGAGAAAGCAGGGTTTTCCATTGTAAGAGAATTTTATGTAATCAAGTGTAATATGTTATATACAATCACATTATATACAAGCATTCATCCTGGTTTTTCTGTTATTCTTCTAAAATTGGACTCTTCCTATATACCTATTCTCTGTTTCAAATGAAGGAGTCATGTTTGACCGTGCAGACTACAGTCGGCTAAACATCGGCCTACTTTGTTCGAAGCTGAGAAAGAAAATTATTCACGGTTTCATTTCATCTCATGTAGACCTGGAGAGAAGCTGAGGAGAGTCTGCACCCGACTCTAAAAGAGGCTCGAGTCTATAGTTCCACTACTTATTTCATTGGACGATGACAGTTTGTGTTCTTCCTCTACAAACTATCGACCATAACCTCACAAACCTCCACGTTCTTAATGTCAAACTGTGTTAAAACACAACTTCATCTGCTTTTCATTCATTCTCCAAAAACAGGAGATTGTGCACGACTTAAGATCCGTGACAGGATTAATAATCAAAATTTAGAAACTGGATTCCAGTCAGTTATCACCATCATCACGTCTTAAAATGTAGGTGAAGAAAAAGTAAAATAAAAGAACAGTGGAGAGAGGGGGGTTCAATGGGGTGAGTCATGAAGGGTGAATGTGTGAGGTACTGCCTCTTGGTAATTCAGCCTTCACCTGTCATTGGTAAACCTCCTGCAAAGCTTTTGACTGGATCTTCAAAAAGGGTCTCATGCAATTCTGATCTGTGCACACTGTGTTCCCATTAAGTTCAGAGCACGATTCAGGATCCTTGTAGGTCTGACGTCTTCTGACTTCTCAGGCTTTGTTGGTGGACCTTTGAAACTCAAAACTGAATAGATTTTGCCTTTGGAATCATTGCTGCTATACTTTGGAGCTGCTTCCTGTTGAGATGGCAACACTTTAAGGCCCCCTATTTACATTTAGAACTAAATCAGAATTTAATGGGTTCTTTCTTTTGCCAGTGTTCAAACAATGTGTGCAAACAATTAAAAAATGTCTCATGACACACATAACATAGCTGTACGCAGAATAAAATACATTTTAGGTGTTTGCTAGTGTTCTGTATTTGCCAATAATTAGAACTTCTCCTTCTCGGACAGATTGTATATTAATACAGATGTATTTTACTACATTGCCCACAGGAAGAGTTTGACTTATTGGCAAATATATTCATGAATTCATGAACACTAAACAAGTAAATCCAATACAGTGTGTGTCACCCAGGTTCAAATCTTCTGTACATCTCTGATTTATAAACTTTAAATTCTACTTTAGCTAATCCTATCTGTGCATTAACTGCTTGTTTTGCTTTTTGTCTTGTTGTTAAATATTTTCAGACACCTTATCTAGAAATAAACACACTCTGCTTCCTATTGAAGATCCATATACTGTGTACTGGATAAACCCATAATACAAATGTTCTGATGCTGGTTTCAGACAAATACAGAGAATATCAGTGGATTGGACTCAATGACAGAACCATTGAAGGAGACTTCCGCTGGTCAGATGGGAGCCCTCTGGTGAGTTTTACTGATTGTTTCTCACTGTTTCACAGTAATATTCAGAATCAGAAGCTTTTTTATTGCCAAGTGAGCTCGCACACACGAAGAATTTGCCGTAGTGAATGAGACTGATACACAGCAACAATAACAAGACAAGAATAAATATAGAAATTAAAAGTATATAAGGACTACGTAAATAAAAAGTACTATAAGAAGAGAAATAAGCCATGTAATAAATTAGGAAACAGATTTAAATTACAATACAATGTTGAAGTTGAGGAACTGCACATATAATGGTGATGTACAGAGGAGCACAACAGGAGTCTTTAGTGGTTTACTGACTGTTCATGAGGGAAGAAGCTGCTCCGGATGTTCTGGTGCTTAGAGACCTGAAGCGCCGGCCGGCAGGTCAAAGAGGTGATGACCCGGGTGGAAGGGGTCCGTGAGGATTTTTCCTGCCATTTTCCTCGCTCTGGAGGAGTACAGGTCCTGGAGGGAGGGCAGGGGGGGCCACCGATGATCCTCTCAGCAGTCCCGACTGTCCGTCGCAGGCTCCTCATGTCTGATTTGGTAGCAGAACCGAAGCAGACAGTTAAAGATGAGCACAGAACATAGGCACAATATTACACGAGTTCATATTCAAATTGTGAAAGAATGAGAGTTTCTGATTTGTTTCCTGTGAGTTTCTTAGCTTTCAGTCTTAAATTTGCGACCCAGAAGCAGACACTAAGGAGTGAGTTTTATTATGAAAAAGGTGGAAAGTCATTGACCAGGTGGTGGAGATGAAGTGGGCTGGAGCAGAGGAAGGCAGTCATGAGATTGTAATTGTTTTCAAGAAATGTAGCATGGTGACACAGCAAGCACAATTGGACCTGGACACAAGCAGAGCTGCACAGGAGAATCTAATACCAGGCAGTGATAGCTGACAATCTGGTAAGAGTGACTGCAGACGTGGTGTCGTATATTCAGCACAGATGAGAAAGCAGCCGGTCAGAGGGGAGACGAAGCCAAAGAAAGCCAAAGCAAAGAGAGGAGTAAGAAAGAATCAAAAATAGGTTAATAAAACATCAAAACCATCATCCAGAAAGGACTACTTCATTTTGCCTGTTCATTTACTTGACTTGGGCTGCAAGGTGGCGCAGGTAGTTAACACTGTTGCCTCGCAGCAAAAAGGTTGCCGGTTCGCGTCCCGGTGAGGACACCCGGGATCTTTCTGCGTGGAGTCTCCATGTTCTCCCCGTGCAGCGTGGGTTCTCTCTGGGTTCTCCGGCTTCCTCCCATAGTCCAAAAACATGTTGAGGTTAATTGGTGATTCTAAATTGTCTGTAGGTGTGAATGTGAGTGTGCTTGGTTGTAGACTGGTGACCTGTCCAGGGTCAGCTGGGATAGGCTCAAGCCCCCCATGACCCTAGTGTGGATTAAGCGGTGTATAGATAATGGATGGATGGATGGATTTAGTTGACTGGGTTTTAACCTGGTCTCCTCTCTCTGACAGCTCTACGAGAACTGGTACAAAGGCCAGCCCGACAGCTACTTCCTGTCCGGCGAGGACTGCGCGGTGATGGTTTGGCACGACGGCGGCCGCTGGAGCGACGTGCCGTGCAACTACCACCTGTCGTACACCTGCAAGAAGGGCGTCTGTGAGTTCACACCTTTCATGAAGCCTTCTTTTGGAAAGTTCTTTTAAATCACAAGGATCTAAGAGGCAAAGTTGTTTCCAACAGCCTCCTGTGGCGAGCCGCCCCAGGTTCCCTTTGCTAAGGTGTTCGGGAAGAAGCGGTCGCGTTACGAGACCAACACCAAGGTGCGGTACTACTGTGAAGAGGGGTTCATGCAGAAACTGAATCCTGTAATCAAATGCCTCCCCGGCGGCCAATGGGAGGAGCCTCTGATTACCTGCATGCCAAGTGAGTTTGCCTGACTTTGATTTGCCTAAAACAGCGACACGATCATGCAGGCGACTAAGTGAATGTGGTCTGAATGATTAAATAGAATCACAAGAATATCCTGAACATGTAACACCACATTAATCAATACAAATTGTGCCTAAAGCTGCTCCAGTGAATCATTTGTCCAGTTTTAGCACAGTGGTACTTTACAGTCTAACAGCCAAAAAACACACTGTGATCAGTCTGGCTGACGTACGTAACTTAACATAAGTCATGCATTTATTTTGAAGGATCGATGTACATGGCAGAAGTAGGAAACATGGCAAAATTTCTACTTTCTCCGACAAAATCTCATGAAACTTTTGAAGAGGAACACAAAAATCACAGAGAATATTTGGTAATTAGGTAATTAAAACACTTAGGGTAAGGGAATCTTACTATACAAATAGAATTACACCCCAGAGTTTGGAGACAAAACCATCTCTCAAGCCTTAATATCCCCAGAACCTCTCTCATTTATATATTCTTCCCATTTTCTTTTACCTGTTGTAAAATGGAAACTCAACAATTTAGTAAATTAGTATTAATGGGGGAAAAAGCCTTTTGAGTCTCTAGAACAGGGGTGTCAAACTCTGGTTCTCAAGGGCCACAATCCTGCAAGTTCTAGATGTTTCCCTTCTTCCAACACACCTGATTCAAATGATCAGCTCATCATCAAGCTCTGCAGAAGCCTGATAATGATCCTGATCATTTGAATCAGGTGTGTTGGAAGAAGGAAACATCTAAAACATGCTGGATTGCGGCCCTCGAGGACCAGGATTCGACATCCCTGCTCTAGAAGAAACTAAAGGACACTTGATAAATTGCAGCATCAGTTTGGGTTAGAATCTGACACACAAAGCTGTTAATGGTCAAGATGCATTGTGGGTAATGTGTGTGCCGGGTTCTTTCTCAGGTTCTGCTGCATCTATTCGTTGTGATTCTGCTCTTTTAACACATTTGTTCTCATCTTTACAAAGGTTCAGGAGACCAAACTAATCTCGATTATAAGCAGCTCATAGAAAACAACAAAACATTTCTATCCTTGGTAGTAAACCCTGCACTTGTCCATCTTCTCTCACCTCCAGCCCGTTCAGTAGAAGAGGACTTGGTTACCTCACATCCTGACCAGCATGACGAGGTCATGGAGCTCCAGCGTGCAGCCACAGAGAAAGCTACTCCGCTGTTCTGGGACATTAAGTGGAATGATTAAAGCCATCCTGCCTTTTTTTTTCTTCTTTTTTTTTTTTTCTTAAAAAAAAAGAACAGCATTCCTCCTCCTGTTTTCCTATTTTTCTTGTGTCTCAAAAACACTGTCCATCATGTTCAGCTGCATCGTTCCCACTGAAATCTTGTCAAAGCCGCAGATCCTACAGTCATGGAAACTGCTTTAATCCAAATATGTGCTCTCCAATAGTGCCGACAGTGAAGCAAGCTTTAGGAGATGTCGTGAATAAAAAACAAAATGTTATGCCTTCTATGACCTTAAAAAATACAGCCCTGCTAAAATGCGCTCTTGCAATGGTGAGAACTTTCCCAAAATCTCTTTATAGTGTGAACAACTGGAACCCTATTCCTCATTAGTTCTCTATTTTTGATCACTGCTAAAAAAAGAAAAGAAAAGAAACTGCCATTTTGTTCCTCTGACTATATCGTAGTCATTGATGATTAACATAAATAAATGATAACCTTGAGCTTATAACTGAGCTTGTTTTCACAGAGAATCTCTTCATTTGGAAAATAAGACATTTTAAGCAAGAAATCTGCTTGATCTAGATATCTCTGGAACAAGTGTCTCCCAAAATAGCTTTCTCATGAAAGTGTTATATCTTGTCAAAGATAGGATCCTACACACTGCTGTAAACACCAAACAGGCAACACTTTTGTTGGACAGCCATCCACCTTTTTGGATTTGGATTTGTGTTTGGATGATTCATTCTTATTTTTTTTTTTGACTGTCATGCAAAAGGAAAACTTCAATGCAGAAGGACGTCCTTTATATGTATGTTAGAGAAATATCTCAGTTCCTAAAGGTCAAGTTAATCCAGTAAATGCAAGTTTCTTCAGTCCTAATTACCTGAGACACAAATTAAATGGAGAATAATATGCAAACCAAGTGAATATCAAGACCTTTTGTCCCAAACAGCTGTTTGACATGGTCGGCTAAGGAATCAAGGACTTTTTAAACACAAATAAAATTCTATTATTTACTTAAAATTACACAATTACTTAATCATGAGTAGTTGAACATTGTTTTGTTGTAGATATAGCTGGTAGACGTTTAAATCAACCTGTTGAACGACGGTGCTGAATCCATTCATTTGACTGTCGGCACTTCACGCTGTATTTTAACATAACAAACTGCTGTCCGTGTACGTTTGATTAGTTATTCATGGGGTTTGCATGTAGCCAAGTGTGAACTGCTTCTTAGCATTTTTGTCTGTTGTGATGTAGAACAACGGCACATCACAGCCACACAGAACCTCCAGCTGGAAGAACAACCAAGAGTAAAGTACACTTCCTGCTGTTTCAACTTTACTGACTTCTAAACTGACTCCAAAAAATGGCACAATTTTAATAATGGACTAATCTTAAAAGGATTTTTTTTTTTTTTTTTTTTAAGAAATTGTCTCAAAAATATGACAACCTGCATCTCAGCTCATAAACTTAATTAGATTTGGAAAATCAGGAAAACAAAAACAAAAAGCAAAATGAATAGTTCTTGTTGTTTTTCCACCATTTTCTGACACAAATATGCGATATAGTTAATTCTTATTATTATAAAGAACCATTCTCTGCTGTATTGATCATGAAAGCAGTTGCTTGTTGCCATCTTAAAGTTCTCCTGTGATGTTTTAATTACGCAACAACTGACACAGAGGCCTTCTGCAAGAGGAGGACTAGAAAGTGGAGAAACCATAGCTGACATTCACTGATGCACACTTCTGATAATGTTTTGCAAATAATATAATCCTAGATTGTTGGCTTGTTGGTTATTCAGCTGCTTTGCTGCCTCCATCAGTCATGTGACCCTCGTTTTGTGCATCGTACTGGTCTCCTGTAGTGACGTTACTATATGGGCTCTGCTTATTTTTTCTTTTTACACGTTGGGCTCAGATGTTGTTTTGTGACCGGAAAGTGAAGATAACAGGAGGAGGCAGAGGTAGGAACATGCTCGACTTTCTTAAGAACTGTGCAGATACAGTTTATAGCGGAGATCCACTCACAGAGTGAGTCACTGTCGTCTGACTGATCAGATTCCTTTCTGATTACGATTTGTTTTGTGTTGCTAACGTGTTTTTCCTCATCCAAATACCTGTTAATACTGTGCGCATATGGGGACTGAGTGGCTGAATGTCCAGCTCGCTCACTGCTGTCTAAGAAGCTTTTTAATTTACCAGCTTTTCTTTCAGCTGGAGCGCTCTTGTCACACCTGAAGTGAATCTGAGCAACTAGATTGAGCTCCAGCCGTGTGAATGAGGTGCTTTTCTCTTGATTGCAGTTCCACTGTGAGAATATTCTCAGATACATGTTTAGGTAAAGTGTTAATGTCAGCAGATATAATACATTAATGTTGTCTGAACTGTTGTTTGGGAGGAAAGAGGCGACTCACCTTCAGTTTTTTTTAAATTTAGCTTTCATAAAAATGAGTTTCAGTTTCTGAACCGCCTGACTGTCTCTGTGCTCATGTGACATGTTTGTTTTTTTAAGTGTGCAGATCATCGACTCTGCTCGTCCTCTGGTGCTTTTTATTCAGGTGTCTCTTGGACTTTGTACTATGGCGTGCTAATATGAACCGCACTGTATCTGTACCCGGCCAGAACCGTATTAACGTACAGCGTCGTAATCAGACTTTTAGATGATTGTGTTCTTCGGGGGATCATTAAGGAAAAACAAGTATTTTAATGTCACTAATGCAACCATAGCTCATCTTATGTATCTTTTGTAGATGGTAAAGAGGTATTGTAATATGAGAGATGATGGTAACTGTTGATCTAATGAACCCACAGAAAATAAATGTAGAAATGATGCAGTGAATAATAGATCCAATAATAAAAGCTTATTGGTTTTAACTTAGTCTGATTTTTTTTTTGTTTCATTTTGTCTGTTAATTTAAATGTATGAAAACATTAAAAAGTAGTTTTTGTACGAATTCCCTCGTGGCCCCTAATTTTAACAGTGAAATGTCTGATTGGTTGAACTTTTTATGTCAGAAGACTTATGGATTGCTTGTTTTCAGTCGTCATTTGTGTTCCATGTGACTGTTTCTGATTCATGTTTAATCACAGAAACTTAAGGTCAAGTAACTGACCATTTAAAACAAAAAATATTCAGTTAGATTTGGTAGAAAAACCTCCGTGTTTGAGGAAGATTTTGCCAAGAGAGCTACTAATCCCAACACTGCACACCTAAATGAACTCAACCACTTAGCAAGTTGCCACCAGCTGATGCCAATCCCCCAATTGTGAGTCTCACAATCGTCAGTCTTCCTTCACAGGTTGCCTACAGGTGAGGTGGGCGGAGCCATCTAATCTAATATCTTTCACCTGGGCAGGCTGGCACAAGGTTATTTAGGCTGATTCCTCATTCTTGCTTGCTGTTTCCTCACCATCAGCATCATGTCTTTTGGGGTTACTGCACCGCTTTGCTTTGTCTGCACAGATTTATTTATTAGATGCTTCTTTTCTTCCTGGTCCAGCTCACTGAGTGTGGATCATGACAGAACTGTGCACAGGTGGAAAAAGCTGAATGCCAAAACTAATCCTGTGCTTAGTTTCAAATTAAAGCCTCCAAATCAAAGGAAGTGTCCTCACATATCTGACACTGTGTCTTTGTAACGCTACCAATAAGACCCGAGACTAAAACCCACTTAAAGTTTCAGATCCAGCTCACGGGGGCTTTAATAGTTTCTTTATGTTGTTTAGGAGATGCACACAACTCCACCCTCACACCTACAACTAGGGGAGCAACACTAGTTTGGTTTGGGGAAAAAAAGTCCTGTTTGCACTTAGTTTAGTTTGGATCAAAGAATTATAGGAACTGACTGATCACAGCTGGGATGAGACTAGGGCGAAGTGACAGGAACCGGAATAGGGCCGGGAAAAGGGGGAATCAAAAAAAGTCAACTGAAAAAGGTGAAAAACAAAACGGTTAAAGCCCGAAAAGGGGAAACCCCCCGGAAAAGGTGGCAAGCCAACACAAGGCCAAAAAAAAAAAACAAAAATCAAAACCAACGAAAAATTAAAAACAACAAATAAACCCAAAAAGGGTTTGGAACGTGTAGGAGGAAGCTGGAGAACCCGGAGAGAACCCACACTGCACGGGGAGAAAATACAAACTCCAATTTTCTCAAGACATTGTAGCCTCCAGTTTAAGATGTTCATAATCACCCGTAGCTTTTGTTTGTGTTAAATTCAAACACTTAATTTTCAAAAAACCCCAAAAAGCATTCAGCCAATTTACAAATACTTTATTTACAGATTAATATGCTGACACGTGGATGCGTTTTTATTGAATAAATTAAATTACACGTCATTAACAGACAGCCCATTTCATTCTTTAAGTAGCTTTTAGCGTCCTCGGATGAACTCACAGGAAGCAGATCAGAGTGGCGTTAAATGGACACACTTGGCAGAACTGCCAAAACTGTGTTACTGATGATTGTGCACGAATCACATACTAATTACTTCCAGTCTGCTAATTATTCCATCGGTCCCAGCAGCTCGTGTCATCAGTGAAGTTCTCTGTTTTACTGGCTCATTAGTACGTTTGAGAGAATGACTGCAGGAGAGAAGATGAAGGTTTACCAGCCACAAACTAATTTTAGCAGCATTTTGGCTGGTAGCAAGCACCCTGGGGAAAAAATACATTCCTTTTGTATGTCAGAGATTTGCATTTTTGTTATCTCATGCAGAAGAAATAAACCTGTTAAAAAGACTTTAAGTTATGTGAAGAATCAGCAGATGTCTGGCCCGATCACTGGGTGTCCTTTTATTTTTGAGATATTTGGGTGAATTTAGGAGATAATTTAAAGCTGCTCTTCTCTCTGACCTCTAGATTAAATCTGGATCTACCAAGTTAAATAGAAACAGGGCTATGAACTAAGAAATCTCCAAAAGCATTACACACTGACATGAATAAAGTACAAGAAATACTGCCAGTAATTGGAATTTCAGGTAGGAGGTTTCTCATTTGGACCAATCCATTGGTGGATCAAGCTTTATGTACTGCACAGTGAACTCTGGGCCTCTCGAGCTTTCCTACTTACACAGAGGCACAGATGTAAAAATTGTATTTGTTTCTTAATTTTTTTTGGCTACCTATAGCAATAGGATCCATAAAGATGCGTCGACTTGTTGGGGAATCCGAATGAGCGCACCCCTGCCTCGGGGATGCCTCCACAGCGCTCCCTGGGGTTGCTGATGGGAAAGCGCACACTCCCATCTCTGAGCCAACCGCCGTCGCACTGATCGTACTTTTGGAAGCGCCAGGCGGCGTAAAGCTGGCCGACCAGCGCTAGCTCCGCTCCCACACGTCTACAAGCCCGTTCTGCCTGCTCGAAGGAGAAAGACCCCGATATGTAGAAGAGGGAGCCTGTGAGAGCAAAAGAGATTTATCAGTCCAATGTTGACGCAACTTCAAAAATAAAACCTGCAGCTGTTGAAGTGTCCTCATCGTTTTGCAAGTTCAAACTTGAGTGTCACCTTCTCATGACTGTGGCGGAGGCTTCCAAGGAAAGAGTCAGTCAAGTATTTTCCAACTGATAAATTTGTTTCCATCTTGTCACACAGAGTTTATTGTCCTCTGGCAACCTATCAGTCCTGCTGTTGTGGAGCAGCAACTAAAGGTCAGTCTGCTGCTGCCAAGTTGAGTCATAGTCGCTGCACTGAAACACTACAAAATTAGTGCATTTACAAACCTTCCTTTCACAACACAGTGCTGCTTTGTTGGCATTAGCAAGAAAATCCACAGTATGGTGCTGGAATCTGGGAATGTTTACAGGTGCATGAATGAACACAAACTCAAAATGCAAAAATGAAACTAATCAGGACATAGATTCTTACAGCAGATACATGCATAATTTTAACTGATATCCATTTGAGGTGTGGCTTTTCCACAAATAGCTCTATTTGAGTGCGACTTTAACAACCTTTTAGCTCCAGTAGTTCCTTCTAAAGACACGGACTCTCGTTAAAATATCGTTTCATATTCATTGAAACAGCTTAACACTTTCAGTTGAGGCAAACATTGCTAAAATAGAAATAAATGTTGTATTTATTGGGGACGATTTCCAAATTTGGTTCACTTGTGTATTTGGGGCTAGAGGATGGTGTATGTGGACGTGACAAAAACAAATTATAGTGTGTATTTATGACATTTATGGTAAGACAATAAACATAACCCAGTGCGATACAGGGACGATAACATGTCAAACCCAGACATTGAAGTAAGGTTTGTACCTAAATGTTAAACCATCAGTAATGACAGATAAAAAATTAGGGTGTGATTTGTTTCAAAAAGCAATTAAAAGCTGCATAATTTCTCATGTAGTTTGGAGGATTGGTTGAATAATTATGTTCACCTGATGCAGCTCCAAAGCCATTTTTATGTTACCAAGATTTCTGCTCTGTAAACCCTAACAAGACGGAGCAACAGCTAATTTTAGGGTCATGTCCCAAAATGGAATTAACTAAGATTATAGTTATGATGATTTAGGATAATGGACAGAGTTTCTACTGACATTTCCATCTAAAATGCTACAGACAGACTAAACCTAAGCTTACCACTGTTCTGGGAGGTGAAGCAGAAAGCATCAAACCGATCATGATTCTTATCCTTTGGCCCGTAGCTGCGGATGCCTGGGAGCAGCTCTCCTCCACAGACGGGTCGAGGATGAATGATCGGGTAATGAACGGTTCCATCATGGAGCCAACCTGCGTTACACCAGTCCAGACCCTCGGTCCAGGCTGCAGGAAGAGATGAGCTGCTTTAAGAGAGCTGATCAGACTGTAGATGACATTTATTTATCTGAAGTGAACCCTTTGGACGGTGTGTGGTACCTCTGTAGAGCTGGCTGTACGAGGCTAATATGCCATCTTGTTCAGCACAGGCCTCCTTGGCTTCATGGTAAGTGAATTTGTAGCGACCGTGTTTACTCTGATATGGGAAAACCACACCTAGAAACAGAGGATCTCTTGTTAGTTTGTTTTCCTCAGCACTGATGAGATCATGTCCAACACATTTCAAATCATCAAAAGAAACGGTTGGAAGATTTTCTTTAGCTGCTGCACAAGAGGTATATGTTCAGACTTGTACTGATATTTCCAGATGCCACACAGGAAAACATCCCTTCACATCAATATTTTCGACCGTGGTGGTTTCTTCACTTACCCTCAATCCTCAAAGTAACATCAACGCTTTCGTCCTCGATGCCATTGACCAGCTCACAGCGATACGTGCCGCCATCTTCCAGCTCAAGATGGCTGAGGTGCAGGGAGGCGTCCATGGTGTGAGCCTTCAGGAGAGAAGCCCGCTGTCCGAGGGGGCCGTACGGCTTGAAGGCATGCGCATTTGATATCATGATAATGTTCTCCGGCCCGACGTGTTCTGGCTGCAGCTTTGTCCATTTAACCTTGTAATGGCTGGGCTTCACTCTGATGATGCACGGCAAAGTGACATTACCTCCTCGTCGGCCGGCGACCTCTGGGTACACCGGCGACTCGAGGAGATACTTCAGCTTCTTGGATGCTGTGGATAAAACCGCATCCAGCAGCTTACAGTATCGCTATCAACTAGACAAACCTGATATACAACAATAAAAACGCATGAAAACATTTCAAAGATGTCGTATTTTATCTCCCAAAACTAACTGAAAAACCTCCTCTGGGATCGCTGGCCTGTCGCTGAAATGTTTAATTACAACCCAGTGAATGTCGTGTAGCAGCACTTTTCTGCACAGTGATGTTTAATTTGACCTTTTCAGGTTAAATCCTTAATATCCCCCATTCCTATTCAGCATATTTTCAGCAGTAGTCATTCAATAAATTTGCATTCAGCAATCCTCCATATAGAAGTTATCAAAAGAGGCCTTTTGCAAAATCGCATATGCATTTCTGTTCAAAGCACCACATCTTGTATATTCATGAAATTGTGTCCTTGTGCATAAGAGATTTATAAAACAATGGTGTATGCAGATAAAGGACATGATGCATAAGACAAAAGAGATTGCATTGTATGTAATGGTGAGTTCAATGTTGTCACTACAAACACATTAATCAGTTTTTTGTTGGGTTTTTTTTGCTGTTGCTTTCTCAATATCTGTTCAATATGTATTTGCTGCCTCCATTGTTGTTGCACATGCAATCTTAGACTCAAAACCCTAATTTATTAAAACATGCTACTTATACTGCGAGTAACCACAGGTGTCATCAAATCAACCAGGACTCGAATACACAGATTACAACTACAAAAACATGGCCTCTGATCATTCAACTAAACTTGTGTCCTCTGTGCATCCATAAGTTGTGAAGCCCATATGTGTTGCTGATGCTAGATAAAATCAAGCAGCAACCTTTGGGGCTTCAAGAAAATAGTCAAGAATTGCAGTTCCTTAAATGGCCACTTGAGGTTGGCACCAAAAGTGAGTTAATCCCCATAGACCTCCATGTTAAAATGGCTGACTTCACAGCAAAGACAAACGTGTTTACAGCTTGATACAAAAACTATTTCAGTCTCTCTAACTAATTTCCACTTTGATGGCAACTGTGCAGGGAGTGGATTTTTATATAACTCAGCCTTTTAAATTGCATTAAGACTTAAAGTTATGCATGATTAAGTGTGTGCCAGACATGCTTGCATCTCGGCTCCACTCAGACTCCATCTCTTGGCTCATTTTTGGATGAGCCAGGAGTTAAGCACTGCCAACCTGGCAATGACTGGAGCTTACACACTAAGCTCACCAAACCACCGCTCAGGAAGCCTAAAGGTGACGTCACAAAGGATTTATCCATCCCTCTATGCAGCCTGTGGGTAAAATCTTTAAAGCCCTTCCAGTGAACTCTTGAATGTTGTATGCTGGTGTCAAAGTTCAGGTGAAATTTAGTACATAAACTCACCAAAGACTTTCATGTGAGACAATTGCCATGCACTTGCACCGTAAGATACACTGAAGTCAGTGCTGCATTATTTATCTGCAAAGCATTCCCAAAGGACTCTACCTGCTCTGCTGTTGGTATATATAGCTGAAGACCAGGTGAAGCAGCTTGATGTTAATAAAAGAATCACAGCACACTTCATCATGAAGGGCATCTCTCTTCCAGCTCCTGTAATTCATAAGACAAACACATAACGGAGCTCACACACTATGATACAGTGTTTTTGGTGCATAAAACTAATTACATTTAGTCCTCACACACCAGCCGATATTTATCATCAATAAAAATTTCATGCACTAAAAATGTAGACAATCAGTACCTGCTACAGTCTATTTATAAAGTCTATGCATCCTTTTAATGTGAAATTAGCAAAAACAGAAACCTGTGCAGTTGGGAAGATGCAGCTATCCGGTCATCCTCCCACGCTGTCCGACATGACGACGATGTTTTCCGGGGTTGCAGCTCAGAAAATTCCTGGCTAACGCATAACTTTATTTCATCCCTTACTCTTTATCACTGTTGTGTCCTCTGCCCGAGCCCTGAATGTTCAGCTGTCATCAGTTTCTCACTGTCACCCTCCTCTCTCTCTCCTCACTCCGGTCATATGGTCCACTCTGTGATCAGCAGTGTGTAAACAGGACTGTTGTCCTCTCTGCTCCAGATGTTAATGACCATATGAAGGTCTGACACTCACAGGCTTTGTGTTTGTTTTGCTCTAAATTCTTCATTCATATTGTTGATTAAAAGCTACACAAATGAAATGAGAACTGCAACGAAACAGAGTGATTTTTGGAGTGTGAGGGATGATAGCTGGGGTTGTTTGTAAGTAGAAACTAATCTTGCTGCATTTCCTACAGATTTAAATTACACACTAACAGTTGAAACAATGCACTGTCAGCAATCATCATAGAGTATATTATATACTCTAAAAAGTTAAAGGTAAAGGCTGATGTAGTAAACAACAGATGCACATAATGCCTTATGCTTGCTGGATTGGAAATACAACTGAATAATATTGTAACACTACATGTGTTTTCCATTGATGGCAGATTTTATAAAATAACTCGACTTTATCTGCTCTGTGTCGACTACACAGATACATCATAAACCTTTTATTCAAAGGTGGTAAACATTAGAAAGGGAGTTTAGTTCTGACCCTGAATTTACTACTTTTAATTACAACGGCAAGAATATAAAGATTAAGAAACTGATTACTTGATCTTCAGAGTTGAGTTGACTAATCTGACAACGAGCAACTTAATTATTGTAGCAAGCAAGTCATAGAGCAATAATTTAGTTTTTATCTGTCTATATTTGTCTGTCTTCTGAGGCTCTTTGTAACTTGGATTTTGATGAGTGCTCTATAGTTAATATTATTCTTGTTGACTGTGACCCAGATCAGCAAGACACACTTTCTATATGTCACAGACCACACAAACCTGGTGAAAGGACAAGAGCATTGCCTCGAGTGAGCATGCTATCTCGCACATTAGCAAGAGAGGTTGCGTCTAAGTTGTTTTTTTTTTTTTTAACCTGCATTTATTAAGCGCTGTGGGGACTCCAAGCAGACCAGATGGCTTGTCTTTATGAACCTTTGCCACTGTGAGGGCAAAACAATGGGGGCCAGAGTCATAAAACTTCCGAGTCACGACTTAAGCTGTGAAAAACACAAGGATAGAAATACACATTCTTTACCTCAGATTAATACAGCTCCACATGGTTTTAAATCTGTCCTTGTGATCACATGCAGAACCTTCACTTCCATATAAATGAAGAAACAAGCTTTAAGTGCTTTTTGCGTTGAGATTTATGTTCGCTTGACCACCAGTTAGACCTGTCGATGAGAAGAACGGCAATGAAGAATTGGAGTTGAAATAGTTGTGTTAAACCGCACGACAGCAAAACAGTTGTAGTTGCACAAACAGTGAAAATTATAAGACCAATAATGGAGCAAATAATGAAAACTTTTTTCTTTTTTTTTTTACTCAAACAGTTTAAAAATTAACCTAATAAATTACTAAGCATTACTTAAAACTAGTTGTTTTTTTTAAAGCTTTTGTGGGACCCAACTCAATATATTTTGTGCATTTTTCTGTTACTGCTGCAGATAATTGGTTGCTTTCTGCCTTATCAAGATTTTTAGAACTTGGGTATCAAGATAAACAACACAAGGGGGCAAAGTGAATTTTTAGCATTATAATTTTCATCCTATTAGGAATCTTGTATTTCAAGTTAAAAGAAATTAACAATAAAGAAATTCCCATGGGGCATATTTGCATTGTAAAAAAGTAATAAAAAGGAAAAAAAAGATGTTGCTATCCTCCTTGTATATGCATGTGGTGCCATATTGCACATCAAGTCAGAGGATAAAAGTCATATTTCTGATCAGATCTACATGTTGCTGCTATATTGGCTCCTGCTGTCAACCAGCGTATTGTAGCATACAGTGTATACAGTGATGAGCCACCGCTGAACCCTGCAGACAACAAGCTTCCCTGTGTATTCTAACCTTTCCCAGAAGGCCGCTGCCAAAGAGCACTATAGTGTGCATTCAGCCATCTTTGTTATTGCCCACACGGCTCTGGGGGCAGTGGGAGAGGAAGCTGTGTCGGATCTGGTTTCCTATGCCACCGTGGCCCCTGGGCACAAGGGCGGCTTTGTGAGGGTCACAGTCTCCACGCAGTGACAGCAGGCGGCAAACACACAAACACCGTCCAATGTGGAAAAAAGATGAAATAATGGGATTCTTCTGTTTTTGCTTGTGTTGCTTCCCCATTGTGCTCCATCCTCAATGGGACTCTTTCTTGTCCTCCAATTAGTATTCGCACAAACACCTCTAGGTGAAAACGGCCAACTGTCTCTGCAGCGCTCTGTCTGTCCATCCACCAATCCGTTTAACCTATATTTCAGCTTTTAGTTCCTGTTTTGTCAAGAAATTTTGTGTAGATTTTCATGATCCTCAGAAGGTGGATCCAGATCAACTTGCCTAACTGGTGTCACTGTTGAGGTATAAGCGATTAAGTTAGATTTTTACTGAAATGCCTCAACAACTTGTGGATTAAATAAAATGTAATGACTACACTAACTCTTTCTGCTTCATCAGAAGTTTGACACTAGTCATTCTGATTAAAACTGATTATTATACAGTCGAGTGCAGAGGTCTTTAAGAACTTGGATCTCCTGACCATGAAAGTGAAAAATGACTTCCTGAATCCTGACTGAGATCAATTCAATAAAAATGAAAGGTGCTTTGTTTATTGCTTCTGCACTGTTAGCAGGGGGGCTATGTTTAGAGCTCATTCCATTGCAAAAGGAAAGACCCAAGGAGATGAAAATCTGAATCACTCTGATACTATAAGGCCAATTAAAATATCTAAACCATCAGGACTTGGTTGTTTAAATTGTGGTTGTAACATGAAAGCTACTAGTGGCACTTAAGGGTTTCAATTTGGTTCTGAATTGAATCTATAGGATTAACTCAGCTTTAATTACTTAGATCTATTCTCTGTATTGCGTCGATCCTTTCCTTCATTCTCTTCAGTCTTGGTCCATCAGCAGGTGGAACACTGCCCTCTGCTGTTCAACTCGCAGAAATGTTAAGCTGCAGCATTTTCTCATTGTGCCATCATGTGGTCGTTTCAGCACAAATTATACTTATTGCAAAAATGCTAAAAGTCACTCCAAGTAGCAATCGTAAATACGGAAAAGATTTTAAAGCCTTGGAAGATTGCCTTTGAAACAAATGAAGATCAGTCATGTGGGAGCTGCTTCTCGTCACCCAGCCTCCCCGCTTGACTCATTTCCTCTGCAGCTGTTGGAGACTCACAGTAACGTATTCCAGCCTGCGGGCAAACACCCTCTCTCTCTTTCTCCGTGACACTTCATATCTGTTTGATTGATGGATTCGTTCTCGGAGCCCTGAAAGTTACTTTAGAGGTTAATGCTTTTGAAACAGTCAGTAGAGCTGACAGATTGGACAGGTTCTGATTCTGGTTATTGTCCTTGTTTTGATTTTTTTTTCCATACTAGTTCACCAAGAAGTCTTTTGGAAGGTTCCCCCCTTTTCAAATTTTCCAACAGATCTCCGCTGCCGTTACCATTTGTCATGCATCAGAGTGCTGAATGACTAAACGTCCCTTCCATCCATCTCCAGCAGATGAGCGAGGCTGATATGAGAGCAGGTCGGCCTGCCTGCAGCCCTGATGTAGTATCAGTTCTCATGGCGCATCGGTGCGTGACTCTGTTGTCAAAAGCTGTGACAAGCTACGGGGTCATGAAGGCACCTCATGGGTAAAAGTATGTACTCCCTGACAGGTTTTCTCCCGGCTCTGAAAGGCCCCGTCCCCACCTCCCCCCCTGTAAAGACACGCTATCCCCGAAACATTCACCGTTCTTACAAATGCCCCGTCTCCTGAAGCTCGCTCTGAGAGTGACAGTATTTTGAGCGTAGTGACAGATTTGCCTTCCTGGCAGTTTAAAAAGCTAAATGTTCCTGACAGTTCAGAGAGGTTCCCCCGTCTGACTGAGGGTTACCTGTATTCCTCTGGTATTCATGCAGGTAAATGCGGGTACCTTTGTTGTCGCTGCATACCGCACACAGGTTTTGGGAGTCTAAATGGAACTGGATTTGACCTTTGACTCTTTGTTATGCAGCAAACAATGAGGCTTTTAAAATAAGCTGTGTGAAACTCAAAACCATCTCACGTTCCTGTCCTCTGTAACTTTATTTTTCTACATCAGGAGACCAGATAATGTTCGTGAGATTAAGTTATGCTTTAAAAACTGTGAACCTGAATACGGCACGTTATTTATTTTATTAGTTCTCTCTCCTTTGTGAGGGATCCTTTTGAACATTGGACAAATGAACCTGGGTTACTTGGTCATACAAAACAACAACACACACATTTGATTTCTAGCTGGACATTTTTAAGAGCTGGTTCTTGGAGACCATAAACCAGCATTGAGGCTCAACCAGACTCAACAGACTTCAAAACCAAAACAATGCACGGAAAGATGCTGCAATGTTTTGTTGAGTTAAGGGGAATTGCAGAGTTGGGTAATAATGATGACTGAGAGTCAATTATATCATGTGTACTGTAGGATGACAATGATTATATCCGGTGTGCTGAGCTTTGTACACTCACTGTTCACCCCGACCACATCCCAACAATTTCTGTGTGCTTGGTACACTTGAAAATATTTAAATGGTCTGCAATTACTTATAGTGCTTTTATCCAGCATGTTTCTCATTCACACATTCACACATCAACGGTGACAGAGCGGCCATGTAAGGTGCTGCCTGCCATTGGGAGCAACTGCAGGTTCAGTGTCTTGCCCAAGGACACTTCAACTGTGGAGGGGCGGGGGATCAAATCGCCAACCTTATGATTTTCAGTTATAAAACCTAAAAATCCATCCATCATCTATACACCGCTTAATCCTCACTAGGGTCGTGGGGGGGCTAGAGTCCATCCCAGCCGACTTAGGGCGAAGGCAGGGGACACCCTGGACAGGTCACCAGTCTATCACAGGGCTACACTTAGAGACA